TAATTATTTATAGGTTCCCATTATTTTTTCTGAAAATCAGAACACATTTATCAGCTTTGTTAAGGTTTTACGGACACGTACAATGTACACGCATGCAAGTACAGAACATGCACGTTTTATAAGTGCATATGCAAGAGCGCCCCAAATATATGCATATCGAGAGTTTGAAATACAGAAAAATTCTAAATCCCGTATTTTTTTTTCATTATTTTTGCAATAAAATATCGACTACACTGAAATGATTTTATTGATTTACAGCATATATTAAAGTGAATTATAGGTCCGCTGAGTTGATCATGAGTTGTTTTAATAACGGGTAGTCCTCCTGGCCAGTCATCGTCACGGTTTGTAACATCGTAATTACACAGGTAAATGCTAAGATGTCGATCCATATATTTTCCATAAGAAATGAATTACCGGGAGATGTCTCGTTTTCTCTGATCATACATGTATATTAATTGACAGCGGTTATGAACAGCTGTTAAAACACAGGCCTTTGTAAACCGGTAAATCACAAAAAAGAGAAATCCGAGACATAAAAAACAGAAAATATAAATGTCTCTGGAAATAACATTGCCTTTAGATAACTAAAATAAATTAATGTCCGCCGATTTTTGAATTAATCCGAACATTCATTGATGTGTACCGGTATAGTGTACCTGTACGGGCAGTGTGTATATTTTTATGAAGCCTTCGTCCAAACGAACAATATAATAAATCTTGAATGAATTAACTAACCCCTTCAGTACACACACATTCGCCTATACCTGAGATCTAATCAAAATCAGATCTTTTTTACGGCCCGGAATTCTGATAGTCGCTGTATTTCTAATCTGATTGACTATACACGTACCTTTAACAAATATTCTTTAATTTTCTTCGGGACCCCTGCATCACTAGTCAGGTGCTGTACCGACTGAGCTACCCAGGCCGATATCCACGACCCAAACCATTACAGTTTAAATAATAAACTTTTATTAACTAATATCATCATTTTTTTTAAAAATAAATTTTTAACTTAATTATAAAAAATCAATGCAGGTGCTCCACGCGTCAATTATTGTGATAGAGGTACTTACCACGTGACCTGATCATAATGCATTCATATTGGTCAACTCTGTGATGCATGTGTGTATTTATCAAACCTTTCAAACTCTTTCCTCTTGACACCATCTTTAAGTGTATTAAAAAGTCAAGCGACTTCCTGTCAATTTTGAATATCGCCACCACACGTGTATTTTGAACTTTGATTACCAATTTCATTATTTTCATCAATAATACATATCCTTTTAGCCTGTCATTTTCGGAATTTTAAAAACTAAACTTCACACAAAAAATCACGGACTTCTTGTTAAGTTATAATGCAAACAAACGACTGAAACATCTTGAACACAAGAAGGGTTGGTGAGGTGCATAACTACATGTATGAAATTAAAAAAAAAAGCAAAGGCGGATCCAGGGTCGGCGCGCCGGGCGCACGCCCCCCCCCCCCCCCCTTCCGTTTGAATTTTTTGTATGTAGAACTTATATGTCCATTATCCTTAAATCAAGGAAAAAACATCTCTTATTTGTAAGAATTTGTCAACTTCTGGGGGCTTCGCCCCTGGATCCCCACCAGGGCTTTGTTATAGACCCTCTGGGGGCTTCATTGCAGCCCCCCCAGACCCCTCCCCTGCCTTGTACTTTGCCCCCCCCCAGACCCCTCCCCTGCCTTGTACTTTGCCCCCCCCCCCGTTATGAAATTCCTGGATCTGCCACTGCAAGGGGCGTAATAAACAAGAATAATATAACTTTGAAGGGATGTGATCATCGGTATTGGTACTTTTACCTATGATATATACACAAAGACCTCTAGATCTACACGACAGAAATAGAGCTTGAGCGGCAGCCCTGCTTTAAAACATGTATCTACTTTTCGGTACAATCATAGAAAATTATAAGTATTTAGCAAATCCTTGCTACAAAGCACAAACACCGTAATATTAAACTTGACATGTAACTAAAATTATTCCATCAATAATCCACGAACATACATTGAAAGGATTATAAATATCTGTAGAAATTAAAAAGCAATTTGGAATTAAAAAAAAAAACTGTCGGCGAGTTTCTTATTGCTGCTATTGCGTTGAACATGCCATTTGATTGACAATCTCTCTATATATGTAATATAGAATTTTTTGTATTATTTTCATTTTTTATCTTAATAATTAAATATTACTGATTATTTCTATTTTTATCATTATTTTGTACTACACGTATGTGTTTGTGGTTTAAGTGCAAAGTTAGGCTGTAGATTATAAAACTATAACATATGCCAGGACAGACATTTCTACATGTTACTTTTCAAGGACATAGCATCGTTTTTGAAAAGGGGGGGGGGGCAGCCAGAGAAAAAAATTAACTTACCTGAAAAGACTTCACAAGCAAAACCAAAATAGGAAAATAGCCCAGAATCCTATTTCCTGGCGGAAAGGGGTGGGGACAACGGGACTATACTGCAACAAAAAGTAGGGGCCAACGGGACTTTCAATGAACATTACTAAAGTAAAAAATTAGATCTGAAAAAAGGGGGAGGCTGATGCTACGTGCCTGCTCTTATAGCTCATGCTTTATTTGATCTGCAATATCATAAGTTTACTTGATTGAATATCTCGGAGTCTCTCTTATCCTTTCTACAGCCTTTTAGTTTGACCAACTATGCAAAATTTAGCCTTTTGAACAGTTGGCGTTAGGGCTTTCATACTTCACATCCGAAATTCTTTGTGACAAGACCTTTTCTTTGGAATAAATATTTTTGACCTTGTGACGTTCACCTTGGAGTTTGACCCACTTTTTAAAAAATCTAACCTTGGCAATACCTTTTGAACGGTTGGGACTAGTGTTTTCACATTCACAGGTGTATTCCTTGTGAAAACGCTGTTCATTGGATATCAACAATTTTTACTATTTGACCTTGACCTTGGAGTTTGACGTACTTTAAAAAAAATTAAAAGTTTTGACTTTTTACCTTTGACCTTAGAGTTTGACCTACCTTTGAAACATTTTAATCTCATTCATAACTTTTCAACGGTTGGTGTTAGGGTTTTCGTATTTTTACAAGTGTGTTTCTTGTGACAAGACCCTCCCTTGAGTACCGACAGTTTTGACTTTTGTCCTTGATCTTGGGGTTTGACCTACTTTTGAAAAAAAAAACGTTGACCTTTGTCATAACTTTTGAATAATTAATGCTAGGGCTTTCATATTTCAATGTCTATTTCTTATGACAAGGCATTCCTTTGGACACCGTTAATCTATCCTTGACCTTAACATTTGACTTGAGTATAAAAAAAAATTAACCTTTGCCATGCTTTTCAATAGTTAGTCTTATAGCGGTTTCATATTTCACAGTTATATTCACTGAGACGAGATCTTTCTTTGGGTAACATAATTTCTTATCTCTTGACTTTGACCTTGGAATTGGATACGGATTTGAGAAACTTAAACCTTTGCCATAAGCTGCAATACCGGGGCATCAGTGTTTCACAAACACGTCTTGTTCAATATCCAAACTGGACAAAAACATTCACAATGAATCCTTAACTCATTGTGTGGAACCTGATAAATTATTTGACTCGATCTATGGTCTGAAAGAACATGGCTAACCTTATCCAGTCAATAAGTCACAGATTGGGATTTTTCTTAACCAGTGTGTGTTATGGTCTTGATGAAAGGTCATTTGGATGAGTTTAGATGAGAAGCTTTAAATTCGTTACCGTCTTTTTCTAGTGAAACATTGTTGGTATCATGCAGAGTGTGACATGGCTTAAACTCAAGTTCAAGGTCACTAAGGATAAGATATTTTGACTGGATGTATGGACTGTATGAACATGAGTGAATTTGAGAAGTTAGTAATACACAGATGGGGTTTGCTCATAACCAGAGTGTGTCATGGCTTTCGCAAGGTCATTTGGACAAGTTCAAGGTCACATATATTCCTTTATCGTCTTTATACTACAGAGTGAAACATTGTTAGTTGATACCTCTTACAAGATTGCTTATAACCTTATGATATGGCATGACCTTGACTCAAGGTCACTTCTTCCTGCCTGCAGCTCCAACGGAAGACCTACTCGTTGCTTTGCAACGAGCTCGGCTCTAGTTCATTTCTCTTTTTCACATTCGGAAAACGATGCTTGAATATATGTCAAACAGAACTTAGTCATAACTTATAATTCATAGTCTTTATTTATAATGGCGGTTCCTGTATAATTCATTCAATGGAGTGAAGACGCCTATCATCTTTAATTTGCTTGTTATAAATGTGTACATCATAGCAAATATATAGAAAACATGCAAACGTTGTTTCTTTCCTATACATATACTTTGTATTTATTTTAAAGACTAGAAGAAGTGTGAGCATTAAGCTCACAAAATGATACTCCCACTTCACATATGTTTATAATGGAAAAGTCCATGTTTTGCTATGGGAGATCCGAAACAAGTGTCCGATTAAAACATTAAATAGGAAGTGCACAATGACACTTTGTAATAAAGATTCTATGAAAGTATCATAAAATCTTATTCAGCGTATAGGAGGAGTTGCGGATAAGAGATGGGTACCCCTCAATATTATGGAAAGAATGGCAGTGTTCTATGTTATGCTCTTGGAAACCCGAAATATTTGTCCGATCAATAAGTAAAATAGAAGGTGTATAATGGCACTATAACAAAGATTCTGTGGAAGTATGAAAGTGGAAAAAGAGGAGTTGCGAATAAGAAATGTGTACCTCAAAGCGTGACAGAGGGACGGACAGACACCATTACTATAACCCCCCGCTTTTCAAGCAGGGGGTATTAAAAATCCATTTGTATTACAACTACAAGGGAGACAGTTTCTATATATTACGTTGGATTTTTCATACTTTTGCTCCGATAAAACGTTTATCAGAGATAAAACAAGATCCACATGTACTATTTTATTCCAAATGACCCTGTAAGTTAATTGTTAATGTAATTATTACCTACTACACACATATAGGGGTGCTGCTCTTGATCACAGGAGGATGCTCTCAGCTGAGTTTCATTGTTGTATACAAAACAAGAGAATGGGTAGACATCACTTTCTGAAAACAAAACAATAATTATTGTATACAAAACAAAAGAATGGATAGACATTACTCTCTGGAAACAAAATATCAATTGTTGTATACAAAACAAGAGAATGGGTAGACATTACTCTCTGAAAACAAAATATCAATTTTTGTATACAAAAGAATTGGTAGACATCACTCTTTGAAAACAAAGCAATAATTGTTGTATACAAAGCAAGAGAACAGGTAAACATTACTCTTTGAAATTATTTTGTATTCAGAAAGAAAGATCGAAATCAGGATACTTGAAGGATGATGTACCTGCAGTCACTGCGTTCAAACTCTTGTACTCTTTGAAATATCACTCTTTTGCTTATGATGATGGTAACATATATAAAATATATACTTAGTATGGAATTAACATCCCAGTAAACTTGACACCACAAGGACACAACAGAGTCTGTCACATTTTTTTTTTCATTATGGATGTTTTATTGACTGAGTGTTAATGGCAAACTATATGACAAACGGGATAACTTCAGATCTTCCATCGTTAACCCCCCCCCCTTTGACATGTGTATGTAGTAATATTCCACTATCAACTGCATCCCAACTGATCAGGTACGCAAGAGAATGTTATGAGTACAATCAATTAAAAAAAAGGCTATCAATAAATAAGCTGATGTTCCATGGCTTTCAATAATCTCTTTAAAGCCAGACTTTCGGAATTTTTTAGGTCGTTATATAACCTTAATTGCTGGTGTATTTTGACTGTTTCCCACGAATTGTTAGATATTGATTTTTCTGTTTGTCAGATCATGACAAGGAACACAGGATGGATGTGACCTCCTGCAACAGGCGATGCTTAGCACCTGATCACACCTCTGATGTTTTAGAGGTCCGCTTTTGCTCTACTCCTCATTTGTACTGTTCCAATGGACTTTAGAGCTAGATTACTGGTCATTATCTTCACATTTGATTATAAATACAGATTGCTGCGTTTACCCTATCAATACAGAGGGCTATTTGTGGCTGTGACTGGTTGAAGTTTACTTCTCCTAGGCACTTGATCCCACTTCTGGAGTTTCCAGGGCTTTGTGTTTTTCCCCTCTTCACTCTTCGTATTGTTTTTTGAAATTTATACTCTAGAATCTTTGTTTATCAAAAGACGCACCTTATATACATTTTTTTCCTAAGATAAATTTCAGTAGAATTTTTTTTCTTGTTTTGCTGTTGTTAATCTTGATATATTTTGGTAAACGCTCTTCTCTAAAAATTGAATCAGTACGTAAGAATTACATGGGACACAAGAACGAAACTACCAGCAGTCATCTATTTTTGATATATTTTATATTTACTTTACCATTGTAATCTGCCTGGAATGGTCCAGTGGGATAACGATGAAGGTTTATCCAGTACTGGGTGTAGTTTTCCACTCCAACAGTCTGACAAACGTCATCAACATCATCCCTAATTACATTAGATTTCTTCTGACTGCAAAACTGTTCACTATTCTTTAAAGATTGTTTCTCTGAACTGATATCTCCATTGCCTTTATTAAAAAAAAGCAACACAAGCTATTCAAGAAACGTATAAAGAAAGAGAGATACCTCCCCAACATCATAAGTTTGACATTTCAAAACGACATTAATCTTCGGATATTGATGTTCTTTGAAAAGAAACATTAATATTTGATTTGATTAAAATTTTTGCCTTAATTAATACGAAATTGAATTTTTTTTCCGAGTTTGCATTGAAATCAGGGGAGTAAGCAAAGTTTGGGTTTGCTAAAACTTATTTTCTTTGGATACTCTATATATTTAACTTTTTATATGTAAATACAGTAAGAAGAAGACTTTTGTCCAAGTACTTACTACAGAGAGTTTTGAAATGACCAGAACACCTATGGGCACGATACACGTGTTTCCTGTTCTTCTTACAAGTAACTGTTGCACATTGTCGAGATTCATAAAAATCTTTGTCAGCAGGAAGGACTGTGAAAAGGGATTGATACATCTCAACAAAAAATGTTCATAACTTAAATCGAGTCGGAATAATTTGGTTAAGTACAGGATAAATGATTGGTTTTGATTCTAAGATAAATACATTTTTCATAAACACTTATAGCGTCAGGACCGCCACATTTCTCGAACTTTCCTTCACAAGAACTTTTGCACTGTTCATCATCCTTCTTAAGGAGCAGCAGAGCGGGTAAACAGAAACAGGATTTACCCTAAAACAGAAAGTTAGAACTGTATAGGTAAGGTCTATATCTAGATGTGAAATAGTTAAATCATGCATCGTAGACTACAAAGAATCTTTATTCCTTATTTTTGTGTGTTTACATGTATTATGTAACACATAACATACACATAAAAACACTCCAATACAGGTAGCACTGGTTTTGCTCCATTGCCCAGAAAAATCGAGAAGGCTTTCTATTTTATTTAATTGTTTACCGAAAACGTACATAAATACTAGTATTTTGAAAATTCGCTATGAATTTATTATATATTCTTCTACATATTGATTATACATAAATATTATACATAAAACATACATGTAATTTAATTACTTGTTGGGGTTAATGTGTTGATTTTTTTTTTCTTTTTAACGTTGGATACACGAACAGACACATTTAATATGACAAATGTAGAAAAAAATATGCTTTAGTTTCATACTTGTCTTATATTATAATTTTAAAACCGTAATGAGGGGATATTAAAATGATTTCACAAACGGAACAAATGAGATCAGACTATTACCTGAAGACCAAAATAAGGAGTCTTTAAGTCTGAACAAGTTTTGAAACAGGAACCCACTGTCTCCTTGGCGGATTCATTGGTTGTTATTTTGTAAAACTGGGGGGCGCCAATATGTGTAATGTCAAAGCAACCTGTAAAAAAAATTCTTTTTTATTATTTTGATCATGTGATAGCTTTTAAACAAGACGGATGTTCTCCATTACATTGAATCTTACATGATTCTACCCTCATGCTTTTCGTGAGATTTAAACCAAAGTATAGAGGTTGTGTCAGAAATGAACACATGTAAACACTTGTGGAGTACATCAAAGCGAGAAGAACGATCAAAAGAAGTCTCAAACTATTATCAACTACAAACAAATTATTGACTAGGATTTTTTTTTAAATAAATATTCTTTAATTTAACATATGCTGGATAAATCAGCTTTAGATTAAAAACTTTCATAATATAAAGTCATTCTTATACAGTATGCATTGAAATGGAACTGTCCCTAATCAGAAATATGTATTACTGAACTGTTAAGAACATTGATTTAGTATACCTTTGTATATGATCCATGGAGAGAGTGCAAGGTAGCTATTTGTCCAAATATCTTCACCAAGTGCACTGGCAAAGGCGTGGTTTAATATCAGGGCCGGAGCTTCGCCACTGATTAGAGAGCCATTAAAATTGTACTGGCAACGGGCGTGTGCGCTCTGCCAATCGGAGCGTGACTGAACGGGGGAGAAGAACTGGTAACATTTCACTTCAGCAACTTTATAACAAAATAAATATTTTTAAAAAAAATTCTCCTAAACCAACTTAACTATAAATGATAAAAAAAAATAAATAAATAAAAAATATAAATATATATGATGCCTGTATGTCAACAAAATCATACATATTGAATAAAAACTTCAGTATAGCCCGTTTCATCATTTTGTTAAGAATTTTGTAATATTGTGACCACTTCTTATATAAAATCAATTATAAAATTATATGTTTTCGAATCCATAAATAAGTTATATTATGCACTGATCCGATGCCATTCCCAAATGATTTGATATGAGGTGACGTTTGTTTAAAATTCCTCCACTAATGTTGTGGAGTTTAATGTTTAGTCATTAGTAAATTTTATATCTTACTGTGACTACAAAGCTCGGGCAAATTATGGTTACACTTCGATTGCTAAATGTCCAGGATTTTAGACAAACAAAACCCAACTACTGAGTACTGAATCCGGAATCAAAAGGGATATATCACTTATCACTTTATTGATAGAAGGTTAACTGTTTATTATAGTCATGTTTTCCACCTAGACGTCCATGAGCAAGAAGACAAGCATTTCTCAAAAATTGAGCTATGTTTATTTGAAGGGCAGCTGCTCATTTGTCTGATAATTGTAGATATGTCTGGTTGTCCAAAAATAAGGATGGTTTTTTAAAATATAATACATTTTTAATTCATAATGAAAAAAGTGAAGAGAACGAACAGTGGTCGATCTCATTACTAAGAAGACCAACTTAACCCCACCTGGGATGAAGCGATATGATTTTTACAATTTACAATTTACAATTTAAAGGGTTATACACAGTATTCAATTGATGTATGTAGCATGCAAAAGTTTGCCTGTGGCATTTTCAGGAGTAAACCAGGACTTTTTTAACGGTGCAACATATTTTCAATTTATGACCAAATTTGCCCGACCTTGGGCCTAATCCATTCACCCTTGGGTCATGAATTTCCAAATTCTGGCAGACGATTTCGTTCTCAACATGCAAACAGTTTACTGCTAGATCCCCAGGAATAGAGATATTTTGAGATATGCATGAATTTCGTGATTTTTGGATCCTAGGAAACAAGGAAACAGGGAGGGTGAAGTGGAACTTTTCATTTTTGGTATATATTGGTTGAAATTTGCTCAAAATTTTATCACGACGCAAGGCGGACTGGCGTTCGCCAATGACTCAGATGATTTAAAAGATCTGTAAGGTATATTGTATAAATATATAGATATCTTCATCTCAGGTGTTGTCGGCCTCTCTGTGCTATATATTTATTGCTCAGGGCTCTTCGTATTTTGTGCAACAAGATACAAAACTGAAAAGATGTCCAATTGATTATGCTAACACTTTTTTTTCTCAGAAATGACATTAACTACAGTCATGTCGTGTTTTGAGTGTTGTAAGGTATTTGTAACAAATATTATTAGCATGCATGACCGAGCTTGTTCATTTGTCACCTTCTCTGCTTCAGAAATTATATGATAGAAGGTAGCACATACTTCAAAGTTATAAATCACAGAAGTTTTTTTTCTTTAAGCAGGAAACAACTCTACAGTGGATTAATAAAGGTGTCCAAGTAAAAAAAGTTTAATGTTGAGATCTCCATTCTTGTGTCCCTACTTACCTCACCTTGTTTAAAGCCCCTTATTGTCGGATCGGAAATGCATTGTATTTCCCCCTAATTACAAGTTACACATAGTGCGTGTATAATGTGCAGTAACTTCATCAGAGCAATGAAAAATATACATATAGCTGTACTTACCTTGATAGAGTAACAAAACCGAGACCAGTTCCAGAACGACGTCAGGCTTTCTTACCATTATCTTTAGCTGCGCAATATCGATCAACAAAAAGTCAACAAAAAAGATAAAACCACGGATTGTTTACTCCACAGAGAGAGATAACGTTACGTTTACTATGTTTACTTTTCTATAATGTCACATGTGTCCTTGAGTTCATCAAAATTCACACTGAAATCAGAGGGCAGAACCGGGATGTAATTTTTGGATTACGATCATCAATCAGTCATTTATTGCGCCGTTGTGGTGGTATATAAAAGTAATTAATTAATGAACTTCTGTCTTATAAATAAAGCGCCAAGTATAAAACCCAGTTGTACAATGATACAAAGTTAACAGCCGATGTTGGAATATCTCCTATTCAAAGTAGGATACCATTTCGAATTAAATATATAGATAAATACTCTCCCCAGTAGTGAAATAGAGAAGTAAAAGTCTTAATTTTCGTTATCTAACAGTACCCTGTTCATGTTCAGTACTAAGTAAATGTAACACTGCATTCTCGTCCAGGGGAATCAAAAGATTATACACACTTTACTCCATGAGGTGGTGATAGAACATGTAACTTACATTTCAGGATCAGGGAATATTTATCACCACGGTGGGACGAGACCGGTGCAAAGTTTGATGGGACTGGTACTTACTGGGGTATTCATTAGGGTGGAACAATCAGTTTTATTTAACAACAGCACTGTAGATGGAACATTTATATTTTCCTCCATAAATCTGTATGAACCAAAAATTATTACTAAAAATAATTCATAATATGTTTTCAAATACATGTACTTAACTATGGAAACTAATATTAATTTTTTAATATTATTAATTTATATTTTATAATTAAGTGAAAGAACACTTTATAGTCATACATGTATGTGAATTGTAATATTTAACCCTGAAATAAACCCTCAAATCACTGGTTCTCCTGTTTTTAACAATTTAGACCTGACATTGAGTGCAAAACTGTCTTCTGCATCCTTTCAAATTTCTAAATTGTCTTGAAATTACACGTGTATATAATACACCATTTTAGATTTAGAAAGTAAGTGTACATACTTTTATGGGAAAACAATACCATATTTTACCATGTTTTATGGAAAAATAGAAAAGTTATTGTCAATTAAGAATACAAACCAATATGGATTGACTAATCTTAACATGATGATGGATGTTTTCTATGAAAATTCAAGTTTTCTTACAATATACCATAAATTCTAGATTTAAAAAGTACATGCTACTTCAAGAAAGGCAATTTCAAATTTGCAATATTTCTCTGAAAAATAAACGAGGCCCAAGGGTGTTAACAGTAACCTGAGTATTATACAACCCTGTAAAGGATCTATAGAAGTACATGTATAAAATAAAACAAAATAAGCTAATATATGAAAATATGTTAAAAGATGCTCAGAGGTCAACTTTAGTCCAGTACTCAGCAATTAATCAAAGTAAATCTATTTACTTGCCTGTACTTGCCAGTGCTAATACACTCCTGACCCACTTGTCACTATCATCAGACTAAACAACACAAAATGCATGAGAACATAAAAGAGTTACACATGGTCTCTCTTGATCTTTGAAAACATTTAAAGGACAAATATGGAGTATTTTGACTCATTTTTATTTATCTATTATTTACAAGACAGCTTGAACATTAAAAAAAATTGAAAACAGTACTCACCGTGTCTTACATTAAAAATTCTTATATTTAATTAACCTATCAATTACATTTATACAATAAATACCATAGGTGAATAATCAAAGGGGAAAGCTTCTCTCAAATAATGTCAAAGTAGAGTACAAGATCAATGAATCCCTGCCCAGCATTATGTAATATATAAAGCCCTGCTCTAACACCAGACCCCAGACCCAGAGGACATGGATTTTACAGTGTTAGTAGAGACACCCTTGTTCATCACAGCCATGCACTTAGTTTGTTCAATAAATACACTTAGGAGCCCTATCCATGGGGCCATATTTCACAATTTTGAAAGAGGCATCCTTGCTCATCATAACCATGTATTTAGTTTATCGACTAAATAGACAAGGAGATAGAAGAAGCTTTTTTTAAAAAAAAAAATATGCATTTTCACTTGATCAATAGAGCCCAACACAAACTCAAGAACCCCTGACCCTGGGGCCATAAATTTCACTACTTTCACAAACTCCAGAACTACTTTGGTAGAGCCCACTAGAGGGTTTAGTATTAGAGAAGTTTTAGTGAGTAATATGATGGCAATACTTAATTTGAATTCAACAATAAAGATTGAAGTCAAAATGTTGTGATGAGTCTTTTTTTTTTTGAAACTGTGGGACAAGAATGGGGAGAGAGAGAGAGAGAGAGAGAGAGCAATTTGAGAAATATAACACAGATGTTGAAATAAAGTTAAAGTAGAATACACAAATTCACTCCATGACAATATCGTTTCAGGTTTAGGAAGTGCATCCTATTACAAGAAAATAAATACCAAATTTGCCATATTTCATTGAAAAAAACTATGATCAATTATAATAGAATACACCAAAATCAATCGGCTGACCTTAACATGATGATGGATGCTATGAAAATCAAGTCTTCTTTCAATATCAGTAATCATATTATCATACACTATATATTTCTTTATATTTACATTTGCAAATGTTTTCTTTTATATAACACTACTAAAAGCAACGCGTATCTATATCCGTATAAACACGGGTTCCTCGCGTCATAAACGTTCGACGTAATTTCTCAGTGACGTCATAAAGGGTCAACGCGCAATCAGAGGATCAAACACGTGCCGTTGGGTTTGAAAAATAAAACGTTTCACGCGTTAAAGATCATAATCAGGCAAATATAAACTATGAATGTAACGGTGTCTTATTATAAATCTGGAGCATGGAAATATAAATAAGTCCATTTCAGGGTTCTACTGACATCTCCATTTATTACATTCACAGATGAACACATAGAATAGTTGGAATAATGGAACAATGAAGGAATTTGGAATAATGCCCTGAAAAATCATAATAACAAATAATAAATACATAGCATAAAATATTCTGATATATCCGTATCAATATAGTAATTACAATCTGCGGTTAACAGATACGCTGCATAAAGGGAGGTAACTCTGTACATGATTTACATACAATCAATGCCCCCTTTTAATATTACGCTTTGAAAAATATAAAAACATTAATATCATAAATATCATACCAATCTATGGGACTGAGCCTCTCCCATTCATTGTAGTCACAATATGGCTCACTGTACACGTATGTCCAGATCATAAAACTACAAATTATCATAGTTTACATAAGTAAACCTATCATCATAAAAACATCTAGTAGATATATATAAAATAAAAAATACTTTCAATAAAATAGTTACTCCTTAATTACTGTCTCTCAAATCAGATTCTGACTGTGCTAGTGCTATGGAATTAACTTTGGCAAAATTACAGATTTTACAGTTAAATCAAATATTAGAAATCATATTAGAATTAGTATATAAATGTTATCTTACCTTAATAGAGAAAAGTATTGTCTCTGTCAATGTCAGAAAGTCGTAATTATAAAACTTGGTAAATACAACCCTTTCTGGACAAATACTGGACAAAGAATGACCATAACAAACAACTTTTTGGAGGGAAAAATACTGAACCAATAAAACACAACCTTACAAAGTCCAAACCAATGAAAACAGTGAATACTTCAAACCAAAGACCAAAGACCAGAACCTTCATAACCCAAGGCAATAATAATTAAGTACAGGTACTGCCTGTTCTACTTAATAATGCATTTATATTTACAATTTAAAAACATATGAAATACATTATAGATTTATTAAATAAATTAATAAATCTAATACTGTAACACACTTCCCCTCCTTTTAAAATGACTTCCACGTCATTCAAATGGAGACTTACCACTTATCTGGTACTCTGGCATAATCAGGAAAATCTGAAATTAAAACAAAATTTATACAATTAAAACATTATAACTTTTCAGTAATCATTTTTAAAAATGCTTTTGACATATCTCTGTCCATTTTTGTTAGCTGTGATGCCATATTCTGAAAGTATATCAATTTCTCTTTCCACTCAGGCTGTTGTGGTATCTGTTGACAACATACATAATTCTTCATCCATGCTGGCTTCTTTTTAACTCGTCCTGATCTCCTCGGTAACTCATCCGTCTCAATATCATCAGGACTGTCATCCTCATCAGCATGGATATCATCAACATGGTCATCATGAACATCATCTTCATGGCCATCATAAGCATCTTGGTTGTCATCTTCTTGCAGATTACTTCCATCATCATCAAGGTTGTCTTCATCAATATCATCCACCATTCCACTAGCATCTGGCTCATCAGATGCTACACTATCCGCTTCCCCTGGCTCATCAATGGTTTCAGCACTTACCTGGTCGTCACCAGTTACAATGTTCAAACCTACTGCCTCCTCAGACAATGCCTTAGACTTTACAGGGTACTCCACTGTAAGACACAGATCATCTTCATCATCATCAGATTCCATCTGATGGAGGATGGCAGGCTCCTGACCTCTCTTACACTCTTCTCCATTTTTCCTCTGTCTTGCCCTAGGAACTGGAATGGGTGTCTTGGCTGATCCAAATGGTAATAAAAGATTTCTGTGGAGAATTCTTAACTTACCTTGGTTATCTTCTCTTTTAACTTTGTAAACCGGTATTGATGAATTGGGCTGTTTTATGATGATGTATGGCTTATCTTCCCACTTGTCTTGAATTTTATGCTTCCCGTCGAAACTTACAACTTTGACTAATACCCGGTCTCCTTCTTTCAAAATGACTCCTCTAACCTTAGTGTCATAATGCCATTTTTGTTTTAGCTGGGAATTCTTAGTTGCTGTTTCAGCCTTCTGGTATGCATCTTGTAGATTCCTCTGTAGTTTTTCTAAGTAAGTTGATGTTGAACTTGATTGAGAATTCCTTTCTATTCCAAAGACTAAGTCAACCGGCAAATTTGGTTCTCGGCCGAACATCAAAAAATAAGGAGAAAAACCAGTTGTATCATGTGTTGTACAGTTGTATGCATGGACCAATGGGTTGATGTAATTTTTCCAGTTATGTTTCTGTTCAGGATCCAAAGTGCCTAACATGGAAATAAGTGTTCTGTTAAACCTTTCTGTGACACCGTTG